ATCTTCCTCCTGATGATGTCTTGGATAAGGCACTCGCCCGCCAGGACCCCAAGGGCAACTCCGACTGCTCATCTTCCTGTGAGTTGCCCAAGGACTTGCAGTGGTAAGCAATTTTCTTATCCCATCTTAAATCCCAAGTTACAGAGTCACAACGGCCCCGTGGCCAAGAGTTTGTCAATCCCGTTTTGGCATGGACACAGCCCTGCAATCTTGCCGTCTTTTCAAAGGTTCGGCACAAGCTCTGAGTGTAATTTGTTCCGGTCCTCTTAGCGAGCGTGCCAAGGGTTTCAAATTGAGCTGCGTTTTTGTTAAGTATATTCGTTGTAAGTGGTTGGCAACACAAGCGGGAGATTGATAACCGGTGGCGTGGAAGGTCCGAAGAAGGCTCACGGAGCCCTTCCCAGGGCCCAAGCACAGAATACAGAGGAATCACCTTTCATAACACTAGCACGGGTTCAAACTGCCAGTAAGAACCAGAATCTGCAGTTTTCAGGCTTGTCGAGGGGAACTTCTGGGAAGCTTCGCGTTCTGAGAAATTTAGGGCCCGGCCCCCCCGAACCCTCTCTCTCCCCCCACCCCACCCTTTCAGACAGCCAAAGGCCTTCTTGAAGCCCAGTAGCATGTCCCATGCCAAGATCAAGCAGCTGGAGCAGCTTCACGTCAGTGTCCATGGTCAGTTTTTGGTACACAGAGGGTTTAGGGTTTAGGTTCAGGTTGGTGAGAGTGAGAGCAATCGATGATGAGAAGGTCGCTCTAGGCCGACGAAGGATGCACCGAGGATTCGCGGAAGAGTGCTTTGAGCATCATAAGGGTTTGAGCCGGAAAAAAAACACAGCTCAATCATTGAGAGTGCAATGAGTCTGGGTCACCCTACCACCTGAGCCATAATCTCAACTCCTTCAAGTCAAGGGATTTCAAAAGAGGATTCTTTAGGGGACACTTACTAGGAGTTTAGACTCTGGTTCACCTGGGTGGCTCACCTCAGCACCTTTTGGGATCAGGGCGGAGCCCGGTCCTTCTGTCTTAGTCGGCTTTCATGCTGAGCAGTCCAGGCGTCTGAAAACGCATTCCTCTCCGGTAGGGGGGGCCTCTCAAAGTCACGGGCACACATGAGCTACTGTCTGAACTCCTTAAAGGGGATTATATAGGAAAATTATATAGGGGGTAGTACAGGGAGTTATTAAGGGGCATACTGGAGTTCAGACTATGGCACATATGAGCTACTGCCAATATTTGCCTTTTCAGCAACCATTCATGGTGGACATAGGAGTCTCCCTTTTAGTTTTGTATAGTCCCTAGTTAGGAACCCATGTCCCTCAAATTATGTAGGAATTGCTGACTGTAGCTCATAATTACGGGAATCAAGGATTCTATAAAGTGTGTTCTGGTGTGGGATGTGTGGATGTGAAGTGTCTCAACAGGTCCTTCGTGTAAGGACTTAATTGGGGGTTTCCCAAAATTAGGGGGTACCCATTTGGGGTTTCCAGTAACAACAACTATAGTCTTTTGGGGTCTACACTGGGGTCCCCCTATGTAGGGAAACTCCCAGTGAAGCATTTCAGGGCATGGAGGCGGACGAGCACTAGACGACTGTTTGAAATTTGTTTTGCTGGCAGACCGGGTTGGGAAGCTTCAGGCGTAATTAATAGTAATGGTAAGAGTAGTAGTAATAGCAATAGTAATAGTAAGAGTAATATAATAGTAATACAAATAAATTGCAACCTTAAATCTCAAACCCTTGACCCCCAAAACCTTAACCTTTTCAGCAGATCAATCCAAGGCTCCGAGGAGCTTTGAGAGCAACGCCCTACTGAAACGTCGTGCCGCGAACTGAAAGCTCCTCTTTTGCGATGTGGGCTATAATCTAAACTCCTAGTATCCCCCTTAATAATGGAGAATCAAATGGAAAAGAACATGGAAAATGAAATGGAAACTGCTATATATATATGGTTATGTAGGGGATTGTAGGGGTTATAGTCTAAA